GAATTAGGCATCTAAAACTTCTATTCTCTTGCTGTAATCCCAGGCTTATCCAGACTTAAACCCCCGCTTCCATTGCAATTTAGAATATTAATTATTGCAACGGTCACTTCCGTATTCTAGAAGGTTAATGTAAAAGCAACCAAACAGCAACATTGTTTGTAACAGTTTATACAGAGTTAAAAATCTCTCCTACAGCGGTGAAACATATCGGGGGAGGACAGAAACACCATCATGGTGTTTCCAGTTAGAAAGCAGCAAGAGGTAGGCACAAAAGTTGTGTTCTCATAGTACAGAATTAACGAGGACTCACAGACCTGGATGTTTGCTACTATTACAGAAACAAGCAGTTTAAAATCCAATGAGGATCCGAAAAAAAGCGTGTTAAAAACTAGGTCAGTACTGGAACAGTAGCAAGTGAAATCCAGCGTTTTGAGGTGTCCCTTCTCAAAAGGCCCCGATGACACGCTCCCAGGGCGAGGGGTTCTGAAGTAACTGCTGCCATGGAAGAAAGACTTGGGCACTACTGTTTCCAGCTGCAGACAAGAGACCTTTCCGACAGGAAGGACGACTGCGCTGGGAAATACACTGCCAGGAACACCTGCCCCAACCCTCCTTATCAAAAAGGGATCCATTTAGGCCATGCAACCACAAGCATCTCACAGAAACAAGCAAGCAGGATGAAGACAGCACAAGACACAGTTTAGGACTAGAAACCCAAGTGTGACATGCACCCCGAACACATCCTGGGGCTGCTGCGGCCTCGCTCCTATGGCATAAGGTTGTTGGCTTACAAATACCTTAGTAAGTGCCAAAGGCAACTGGATGTTGTCTTGCAAAGACACCACAAGTACAGAAAACCATTTCAGATAGACTCTCACAAGGTACCAGGATGAATAAATAAGCTTAAGCAGGACAACTAAGAATAAATGTGACAGGAACAAAACTCATCTTCATTCCAGCAACATCTGAAACATTTATAAACTTCCTTCTCCGGCTTCTTCAGCCTCAGACAACGTTTTCTTGCATGTGGGTAGGCCGACTGAACTTCACCCCTACCACGCCGCAAATAAACGCCCCCAGGCCATTAAGAATGATTACAAACCCCACTGTTCCAGGGGACGATCCAACTTTCGGTAGGTCGCAGCCTGCAAGAGGCTGTACGCTCCCCTGGGAGGTGTGGGATGCCAGGCACAGCCAGGCACACCCTCTCAGGAGGTACCACTGAGCTGTTTCAGTGATGGAGGGTTGGGCTGGGGCCGGAAAGGGGAAAAGCTCTGTGAGCATAATCTGTTTCAAATCTAGTTCTGCTGTAAAAACAATTCCTGTATAGAAGCTGCCCATTGCACAGACAAAATACCATTTTTTTCCTATTTTTACTTTGCTAGCGCTATGAGTCATCATCCACGTTTCAAAACTGTTTCATGAATCACACAATTCCTGAGAATTAAACTGTGGCTACTGCTGTTACACAAAAGAAGAAAAAGCAATCCACAACCGAGAAAACCTACAGCAGGTTTCCAGTAGGACAATGCCCAACTCCCAATCTTTTACCAAGCTGACTGCATTCCAAGTTACCATGGAAAGGCACAAGTCATGCCCTTTACTGTAAGGAAGCTCCAATGGGACATACCAAAACACAGAGCATGGCTGCATCCTGCAATCACGACTTCTGGCAGAAGACAAAGCCTGCTTATTTATAAGCAGTAAAAAAACAAAAAGTGCCCAAACATACCCATTCAGAGGTCCTCCGTCATTGACCACGTTTAGATGGGCCAGCTGCCTCTTCAGGTGAAGTTTGTAGCTTGCGTTAATTCGTAAAAACAACATCTAGGAGATACCACAGAACCAGAGTAAGGAACCATTCCCAAGCTTGCATCACTGCCTAGAGCGAGGAAATACACTGTGAAATCGCTGACCTTCGCTTTTGTTTTGACATTCCATGTGATTTTTCCTTTCTGCCAGTCCTTCCGCCTCCTAATCTTTCTGGCCACGCACAATATATAACATACAGGACAGTTTACACCCTCACTTATTTGTTACGTGTTGCCTATAGAGGACACTTTCTCTGGAGCAGGAATTCTTCTTCCCTGTTGTCTGAAACATCTAGCAACTTGTATTAAAGCGAGAAGACAACAAATCTCTTCCCTGCACTATAATCACTTTAAGTCTTTTTTCCAAGAGACCATTTAATTTAGTGCAAAAGACAAACTACAACTTAGTGCGTTCAGTGACTGTATCAGTCCTTCCCGTCCTTAGATTTACAGCTCTGCAGTAGCAGTAACTGCAGCAAAATATGGAAAAAGCACATCTGGTACAATCTGGCTGCATAATACATTCAGGGACCTTCGGAAGCCAGGAAGTTTCAGCAGTGCTACAGAAGAATTCCCTAAAAGGGCTGTACTCGAGCCCCACAGCGTTGCCGCTTGTGTAGAATTCCAGCACTAATTCCTGAATTGAAGATTCACCTCTCTAGGCATTAAAACGCAACCCAAAATGCTGGAATCAGTCGGTTCTTTTTGTGTGTCTCATCGTTCTCCCTGCACACCCAAACACTTCAGTTCAAACTGAACTGTCTGCACGACTGCTGCCAGCCCCTTTGATGTGTGGGTTTCACAAAGACTCAACAGAGATTTTTTTTTCCCCCCCCTAGATGAAGCAGAAGTCTCTCTCTTCACCGAGTTCATCTGCATTTGCAAGGGAGGTGTTACATCAACCTCAAAAATAACATTCACCTGAGTTTGCTCCTCAGGAAGGAGATCATATATAGCTTCATGCATCTTTGCCATTTGCTTGCAGATGTTCCTGAAGCATGCGGAAGGAACAGGAGCTTTCACTTCATACTGGAAATGAAAACACAACCAGTTACTCCTTTCTGCCTCTCTAAAACAGTTTACATAGGAGAGTTTCCAACAGCCGTCTCAAGCCCTGCGTTGCTAATGACGTCACGAGTCAAGGTTCATTTAGCACATCACAAATTAAAACAGTGCTGGGCATGATGTGATTCAGCCAAGGACTTGCATCATGCAAGCTTTTGGCACTTCTTTTTATAAGCAAAGAGTAACACTCAAACCAGTATGAAATCTGAGCACTTCCCAACTTCATCTATTCATCTTTGTTAATCTGCATCGCTTCCCTTTGCTACTTACTTTTTGCCCGTTTCCACTTCCCTATGCATTACAGATGCAGAGGTGATCATCACTGTGCCTGCTACGTGGCCTGCTAGCCAGCCCTCTTCCTTCAGACTGTGTGACTCAATGACAGGCAAGCAATTCTACCTCTGCTGAACATGCCCCTCAAGCACTTCATGAGGAAAAACGACTTCTCTACAATCACATACATACAAATTTCTGAAGAAACAAGGAAAGGAAAGCATAAAGAAATGGAAGCTCCTGAAAACTCAATATTGACCAGGAAAAAAAAAAACAAACAAAACCCCAAAACCCACAAGAACATTGCAGAAATACATCGGAAAACAAAGTAGGACTCAGTGACTGAGATCAAGAAACAAGACACTGAAAACCACCAGATGGCAAGGGGTTTGCCACAGAGGGAACAAAATTCTTATGTCCCCACCCTGGATAGGGAAGATCTGAATGTGATTTCAGAAGCACCTTGAAAAACTGTTCCAGGAACAGTGAAGCCAGCTCTCCACTTCCTGGTGGAGAGGCTCTGCTGGCACAGGCCTGGGTTAAACACTGGTAAGGTGACCTTTGGTAGGGTGCTACTTCCCCACAGAACCTTGCACAATACAGTGGAAGAGCTGAATCATTATAAGTAAATAATTTACAAACACATTGGAGGAGACGCTCTCTCTCATGCTAGCCTGAACTGTGAAAGAGAACAAAGCTTGCCTGAGCGTGAGAGCAAAAAAAAAAAAGAAACAGGGAGTTTTGAAAAAGCCTTTATGGAAAAGCCAAACCAATTGAAAGGAGAAGTAGCAGAAAAAATAGTGCTGACTGCTCCAGGAGCCCTGCTCCCTGCGTGGGACAACTTCACAGCATTGTGCCTCAAGACATGAGAGCTGGGCGACAAAAGATTTACAATTTACCAGTAGAGCCCAAGGAAGCTGCAGCGATGGCCCTTGCGTGGCTACAGACCAAGCAAACTCTCTGTCCTTGACGGGGGAAAAGCAACAGCACCGGAAAGAAACCTGAGCTCCAGCCTTGCAAGTCGGTGGCAATTTTTATCTCCAGCAGCTAAGGTCAACAGCGGGTAATATCATGATGGATCAGAGAAAAATTTACTGCTCTTCTGTCCAAAGAGTCACAAGCCAGCAAGCTCCAAGACAAGCTAAGAACTTGCACTGGATTTTTTTCCATGAACATTTATTGTTTTTACAAAACCTATGCCTTTTTCACTGATAATGACAGCTGTTAAATACCCCTGTTGCTGTTTTATCTCCCTGCCAAAGTTAACAGACAGATGCTGGGAACTGTCCGCGCTGTTGTGGAACGCCCCGCTGAGCGCACAGCCTCATCACGGTGGCACTGCGTGAAGACAGCTCCTGTTCCACAGAGCTCCCAGAGGGAAGCAGCGCCTGGAATCACAAGAGTAACTTGTCCACGTCCTGGAACAAACCGTTTGTCTCCTACAAAGCAGGTTTCTAGACTGTGCAATGTTTGGTTTTAAAGCACGCTGGAGCCACGCTGCTATGGAACTCGCTCGCTTGCTCATTCGGATTTACATCCTTTAAAGTAGGTGACCACTTTATCCACAAAGCACTGAAATATCTGGACTCTCACAAAAAAGAACACACTGACACTGGTTGCACTGACATGCCCGTTTGCAAATTTCCTCTTCACAGCCTTCAGTGCTAAAACGTCATTATTTCAGGAACAAGATGAACCAAATTACGGGGTATTATGTTAGGAATGGAGGTAAATCGACCCACGGTCTCCTCTTCTCCTGCACCCTGTGGGTTGCATTCACGTCAGCCAGGCACTCTCACTCAAGCCTTTAAGAACTCTGAAGGACAGGAATACTGCCAGTTTATCTCATGCCAGCTCACAAGAGGAGAATGGGCTGTAAAGATGGAAAGACAGTAAGGCATGGGTACTTACTAACTACCATCAAGAACATAGACTGTGTTACTGGTTTGTTGTGGGCTAACTTGCTTAGTATCAACAATCTAAACTCTTGCATTTGTCTTATTTTCAAGAGACAAGAGATGAAGTGGCCAAAAAGCCATGTTACTTCACAGAACAGGTATTTTTATGTGGGGCAAAAACCTAAAAAAGCAGATCACTATTTGGAGCTTCAGAAAAGGGCATAAACATGTTTTTAAAAGTGTAAACGCAACAGGGGGCAGGAATCCTCATTTAAATGCTTTGAGGATTTTTCCTGCCTCCAAGTTTAGGTAACACTATTTATTAGTCCAAAGAAACAGATGAAAAGAAAATGCACAACATAAAATAAACAATAAAATACTAGAAACAGCAAGGAAGACAGAAATGCTGCCTGTTACAGCTGCCTCTGCAGCCCTCATCAACCTGTGCTCCACCAGGGAGGTTCTGTGCTTCTCAGGAGCTCCTACAAGGAAGAGGTTGGCCCAGGCCAATCAGTCAAATCTGTCACTAAGGAATTAATTTATTTCTCTCATGGATAGAGAGCTTTAAAAGAGCATAAGACATAGAGCAAAACACTAAGCTTTAAAAGCTCATGTACTTAATCTATTGGATCTGTGAGCCCAGGAGGTCCCATCTTGGGGTACTCTCTCTCAGCGTACTCCACCTTGAGGTGAGTCTGAGAGAGTGGATCCAGCCCAGGACCAACCTGTTCCGCTGATGAATGATCAAAACCCAAAAAACACTACGAGCACTTCATGGGACAGCTACTAATGCTGCTATGCAGCAGGAACTGCTAAGGCAGACCTCTGGTCCCCAGGCCTGCAGCCCAATGGATGGGTTGGTCCTTCCCCTTCAAAAACTCTTCCTCCTCAGCAGTTTTTCGCTGTTTCCTCAGCTGTGGGAAATGACAGGCTCCCCAATTCCAAAGAGGCACCATCGGGAAGAGCAGGAAACAGGAACTGGCTCCGCCTGACTGCAGACAAGAGCTGTCAGTGGATAAAACTGCTGAGGGTAGGAGAGCACTTCAGTTTCTGAACACCAGAGCATGTGCACCAGCCAAAGCATTGCTGTTACTGCTGAAGGAGTAAACAAACAAATTTTTTTTTGTGGGGATAAAGGCGAATGACACTCACTTGGCAAATGTTAAGACAAAACACATTCACAAGTACGGCAGAGTTTTGTGTTTATACAGTTTAAAGAAGTTCAAACGAGTCTCGATTAGGAAAGTTTAAGACTTCATTTGAAACATCTAGGCTGTACACAACCAGACCTCCAACTGCAATTTAGAGAGTGTATAATTATTTCCATAAATCATTACCTTGGATAATAGTTTGTCAAATAAGCTATCCATTATGGCAACGAGCTTTGCTGAAATTTCAGCTATGTGGTCGTGATAATCCTGTAACGGAAGAAAGCAGGTTTTATTTATTGGCTAATGGCTTTCGTACTCTTTGGTGGATGTTGAAAAGCAGAACTTTGCATTTAATTAGGAAATGCCAAAAGAATTACCTTTGTAATGTGGTCAAAATGCCTGAGCATGCTAAACTGCTTCGGCTGCAGTCGAGCTTCAAAATGAGCCCTGATAATAGGAATGTAGTGTACGATTAGCTGTAGGCAACGTGAAGAAAGGGCTGTAAATCCAGAAGTGAGAGAGGGAAAGAAAAATAATTATTACACAGGAAACAGTCTATACAAAATGGCTCATCTCCTTTAATACAAATAACGGACCTGACACAGTTTAACATGTTTGGGGGTTTGTTGTTTTGAAAAAAGAGGAGGTAAACATATGTTTCCACTGGGAAACCCCACCCAGTGAAGACATTGGACTAGTACTTGGCTACCCACACCCAGCTTCTGTAAGATACGGGATAAGGGACTAATTTTACAAGAGGCTTTAAGTGCCTACTTGACATTTTGAGCCCTGAGCACACGCAGACATCAGAGAGATCTCAAAAGACCTGACTCATCAGCTACCTAACCTCGGCAGCCACGTTCTCAAGGCATCAGTGTTTCTTCTGCGGGAGGTGTGTGTAAACACTCCGCCCTGCCAATGCTGAGCTGCCAGAGCCCGCTCCTGCCTGTGGTGCAGGCAGGATTCCCAAAATCAAGCTTCTCCTGTGCCCACCAGGGCCCGAGCCGGCAGCAGGACACAAGGTGGCCAGCATGGTCATCGCATTGGCCAAGCCTTCTGGAGCAAAGATCTGACCTGGCTTTTCTCTGCTCACTTGTGTCTGCTCCAACTCTACAGCCCACAGCCCCTTGGGGGAAGCCTCTCCACTGATTCTCCTCAAGCTATTTCCTTTTTAAAAGTGAAATGCTGACTGGTAATCAGGACACCCTGAAACATTGCAACTGCAAGTTCAAACACCTTCTTCAACCCACCCATCAAAGGCTCTTAATTTCAGGAGATAGTTTAAAACTGGTGGTCTTGAGTAGCATGTCGGACTTCTCCGTAGCACGGAACTGGGCACCTAGTTCTCCCCAGCTTTTCAGAGCAGCTAAAGCAGCCCAGGCAGGTAACTTGGGGCTGGCAATTCAGCTAATTGAGACACCGAAAATGAGGAAACTCTCAAGCCCAAATCATAGTTTGGATTCAGCATGCAGACAGAGAGCCCTAAGTTACCTGACTGTGCCGGGACACTCAACCACACAAAGACCAACTATTCTATTCACAGCCACCCACAGAAATCACAACCACAGCACTGACACGCGGTTACAACCCGCGGGAGCTGTTACGAGGACATGGCGTTCCAGAATATGGCACCACAGGGCAGACAGGAGAGCACAGCTCAGCGAAACACACGGGGAGACGGGTTTGGCTGCATTCCTCCACCTACGCACCTCCAATCTCAAGATCCCAGCGCTAAGCTGCTCCCAAGCATGCCAAAGTCACCGCTGAAAAAGTTAACTACACCTTCCCACAGTCAAAACATTTCCATGGAAAACTTGCTAGCCTCTGTATTTGTTCTTATGTTTCCTTCATGTAACACAGTGAAGCTTTACCTTTAAAGTGATTCAGTAGACAGCAAAATCATTTTATGGATTTTAATGCACCCTTTAATCAGATAATTCACTGCCTTTTTTGTATGTTTTACCCTCTAACCAGCAAGGTCTCATGACCCTCTGTGGTCCACGCATGGCACCACAATACAAACACAGCTTATCGTAAATATTTAGGTTTTTTATTGTTGTTGTTGTTTTTTTTAACAGGCAGGAGAACGAGCTTTGACATTTTAAACACAGAAATCCATACCTAGGTTTTTTGTAGTGATTGTTTTCAAACCAACAACTTGTAATGCACCAGCCCCAAGCACTAGCTGGCAACTTCTGGAGTTGAAATACTGTGAGAAAGAAAAAGACAGTGAAAATTTATGCTGACTTTAACAACTTCACATAACCAGTTTAGAAATACCATCAATAGAATTCTGCAAGATTAAAGAGATTATTACAAAATAAATGAAGGCCAGTACCAGAGTTTCACATACTCCTTGCTACAGAGGAGTCTGCGACTGTTAACTAGTAAGACAAAAGGAACTTTTTCACCACTCTCAGCAGTCACTGGCCTATAGTATTTTTTTTCCACTCAGTTTATGCTAAAGCACTCAAGGCAGTGTTTCAGCAGTGGGAAGTAGAAACAGTGTTATTAAAAACACAGTTAGCTGCTCAGTGATTTCAATAGAGGGACTAATTTCTGCTTCTCTACAAGACCTTTGGGTGAGGCTTCTCCAGTGTGAGAGTAAAGCAGCAAGTCAGACGCTGCAGACTAGCTATGTTCAGCCTTACTTTGAAAGCTGTACACAAGAATGGCTTTATACTAGAAATCTATAAAATGCACTTCTTGAACCAGGGCCTTGGGTGGAGTGAAGGGTAAGGATCTCACTAGTTTTGCTGAGTAGCGTAGGAAAGCGTAATATCAGAACGTAAAACAGCAAAAGAACAAGTTTCTGCTCTGGCTCTAGACCTTCCCCGCTGCTGATGTTAAAGAAAACTTGAAAGCACCCAAACTTACTGCTGCTGAGGTGGCTGAATCTGTGTTTATCAGACTATAAAATACCGAGATTAAGAAGTGATGCGCAGAAGATGTTAAGCCATACCAAAAAACAATTCTGTAAGAATTCCAGGTATAGTGGATGACTCATGACGTGATATTCCTAACTTGGTTCCAGGAGAAAAGAAGTTATCATTAAATGCGCGCAGGTCAGCAAGGTCTTTGGACAGTAAAACAGTTCCTTTTAGCACATTATTTCGGAATTCTGCTCCACCACTCAGCTTGAGACACCAGACACTGTAGACTGGCTTGGGTGATGCAGTAGAGATGGAGGATTCATTGCTGCTGTCCCTAATTCCTGCTCTGAATGGTGAGCAGAAGTCCCAGGGCTCACATTTGAACAAAATGTTGACACCAGGGTGGAAATTGGGAGGCAAAACCTACAGAGAGCTGACCCTTTCTCTTGCACCTGAAGAAAGATTCACAAGGAATTGTGGCAAAGCTGCCCCACGGCTTGTGTTTGCAACATAGGGGACTTCCCTCACATAGAGCTCCTTTTTTTTTTTTTTTAAGGTCAAAATCCCGCTTCACGATAACGCAAGAACAAACCCAAAATTTCAACCCTCCTTGAGTAAAAACAGGAAACAATTTTTTTTATCCAGAGAGGATATGCTGTGAACACCGCACACCCGCTGTGGGCTGCCAGGGTGGTACATCCAGGGCCAGAAAAGCAACCCAGACCTAGTGCCACCACTGAACCTGAGCTACGTCTGGCCCCCGACTTGAGAGAGGCACACCATGCTCTAAGACAGAACTCAGGATCTGAAACTGCCTGACATTCACTTCATCTCCTCCTCCTGGAAAGCAAGACCTTTTCTTATGCCTCCTGGTGGACTTGAGAAGTAGATCCACTGAGCCAAAGACAGATACATCCTACGCAGCCTAAGCTGCTCCGAGGTATTTAGCTCAGGTTAGCGCCAACTCATTGGCTGCGTGGCAGACCACTAAAAACATGCTCTGTAAAGGATGATGGACATTCATATTCTCCCCCGACTTTCATAGATACCGCTGTTATCGGATGGGCTGTTGCAGACAAAGCAGCAAGGAAGCAGCATGCCTGAAAACATCAAAAGAGCAATACCCCCTCCTTCTGACTGCCTGGAGGAAAGCGTTTCTGCGTTCCGGCACTGCGGCTGCCAGCCTTCTCTTGTCTGCACCAGCTAAACAACTCCCGTAATTATGATCGTGGTTTTGTTCATACACAGGTGTTATTTCACTCTGGTTGCAGCCAAAGTCTAAAACGGCCTGGAATTTCATTACCTGGGAACACTCTGCAGCTTCCAGCACAATAAAGACTAGCTCTCGCTACCTTCAAAATTTGCTAGCTCTGACAGCTGTCAAATAAAAAGTGTAGTGACTTGCAAGGACACCCTGAGTGGCTCTTATTTTGTTCAAAGTGTAATAAACGAGCTTTTGTTTTTGCTAGCTGCTCTTCTCATCTCTCCAATTGATGGCACCACACTGCCAGATAGGAGATACAATAATTAAACTGCACATGACGGTTGAATATCAAGGAACAAAAAACAAATGACGTAGAGCTAGAACGAGATGCGGTACAGAGAGAGAAGTAACACAGAGATGCAAATCTGGCCAAGTTTGAGGCATCTGCTTCTATTCTGTCTGCCTGCAAAAAGGTGCTGCAAGACTCAGATGACGCAGCAGCTGGGGCACGAGAGGTGAAGAGGGGCATTCCCAGTCCCAGACTGACTGATTTGCCCTGGCTAGTGCTTTCAAAAGGGGAAGGCTTGTGGATGAATCTGAATGATGACTGCAAGGAGGAGTGTTCCTGAATCTCATCATTCAGATAAGAACTACCAACAGGAAGATTATTTAAAGGTCTGTCTCCTGGTTGTGTTTCCCCTCCCCTGTCCCCACCCTACGTAAAATACACTTTGGAGAATAGAATCTGTTCGTCTTTTATCGATTATACTTATGTTCAGAACTCTAACACCTGACATAACCTTTGTGGGTAATGAGACAAGTGCCAACCTTGAAATACATTAACTATTAGGCTTTGGATCGTTCGTGTGTGTGTGTGTGTCTGTGTGTCTGTGTGTCTGTGTGGCTGTGTGTCTGTGTGTCTGTGTGTCTGTGTGTCTGTGTGTCTGTGTGTCTGTGTGTCTGTGTGTCTGTGTGTCTGTGTGTCTGTGACAGTTTTAAGGTGCGTTCATGTGCTCCCTTTATTATTGTTTACTTATATTACCTTGCAGTATCTGTGCTTTACCAGCTTTCCTCTTCTCTAGTGAGAAATAGATGGCAAAAAGGTCCTGGTCTTTCATCATCTTTAGATTTTACAACAGAAGTGTCTTCCCATACTATTTTTCATGCTTCTACTGACTATACCTGTACTGACTTGTAAAAACCAAGGGACTCGTTTCCTTCTTCAATATAGATATATCTCTGTGGCATCTGGGATCAAATTGCTTTTTCTTCAGCAGCATTAATCCTACACCCAGCCTGAAGGACAGGCAGCTATGACAAATGCTACTAGATGGGATTTTCCAATATTTCAGGTGAACAAGAGGAAAGACAGCCCTCCCGAATTTAATTCTCACAACAAATTGAATCTTTAATGCCTTTAGCTTAAAAGGCTACCTTATGACGCGGTAACAAACACAATCATTTCTAGACAATTTATATCATTTCTCTGAAATTATAAAAGCCAGTGAAGCATTACAGAGAGTAAGACACGTTCTCTGCCCTGAACACCCCTGATTAGCACAGACAGTACATGAGGAGTCGTACCTTCAGTAAATCAGACAGGCGGGTAAGCATGTCAGTGGCGATGGAAGGAATGTTATCCACACACTGGCAGTACTCAAGGATTATTCTTATTAACAGCAATACTGTCCTACAAGAGAGGAAACAGCCAAATATGTCATCTCAATGCACAGACGATGTTGGAAAAAAATCAAACACAGGCCAGTCATGCTCACAGAAAGCTACCTAATGCTAGAGATCACAGCATTAAATAAACCCACTAACTGATCTGAAGTAGAAGCAAAACATAAAAGATGACTTACATAAAGATGGCTATAAAGAACATCCATTCCACAGAGTGGCGTGTGGGAAAAGTACTTAACATATATGAGAGAAAATCTCTAAGGTTTACTGGTATAACTTTTTAATCTCAAAAAAAGCTACTGTGGAACTAGAAGTCTCCACACAGATGCTGGCAGGGGATAAAAAAATCCAAAGCTCTTTCCTTATACTACTGTGTAACTCTGGTCAACTTTGAGCAAGTATAAAAATCCACAGAATGTAGACAATGACAACCACTGAAAAAGACATAACGAATACGTTAAGGAGTCACAATGGCAGAAGGCAGCTGTGAAGAAACAGCACCAAATATTCAAAGATGCTCAACACCTGTATTTTCCTCTGAATTCAGTAGGGACTGGAGAATTTGGGAGCTACTGGATGGAACAGGGAAGGTTCCACAAAGAGCAGGTATGCTTCTTTGAATTCAAATACATAGAAGACAAGAAAACTAAGGCAAGTTCAAACGTTCAGAGTAGATATTCTAACATTCGAAAAAACAAAACCTCTTTCTTCCTTTAGGCTGTAGAGTGCAGAAAGATGATCAACAATCAACGGAAAAGAAACATCTGGAGAATATGGGGGTAACATCTTGGCTTTTTTTTGGTGAATGCATTTTATTTGATTAAATACAATGTAACTGTATGTGGAAGTGCGTGGGACTAAAACAAATATTTGCACCAACATGAAGCTGACAATTGCTTCACAGAGCTAAATATAACAGGTTTCAAATGAGCAGAGATGGATTAGCAAACACATCTATCAAGTAAACTTTATCTTTTTAAAGCATATTCAAATGCTCCTACTCGACTGAAATTCTCTTTTGCAGTGGTATCAGCTGGCTGGCACAGAAGTTCTGAGCCATCAGCTTCTGTTTCCAATTGAACAATGACACATCATCATGAAGCAACTCATAAAATGACAGCTGGTCAAAGACGTTATGTAAATCAGAACTTTTAAGTTTGGTGTAAATTGATGTGAGGACTCTGGGAAGTGAGATCTCCAGGTTTTACTCTCTCCACAAAATCACTCTCACATATATTTAATGCTTAAGCCTCACAGTCTTTGGAAACAGCATGCTTTTAAATGGAAGAAGTATGTAAGTATTATACATTTTAAAATGTCTTTGATATAAACAGCTTTAAGAAACTACTTTCCAATCCAAAGCAATCAGGATATCAAGAAATAGCATATGCAGCTTCTGAGATAGCCCACATCTTATTTCTTTTTCTGAATAAGATAAGCAATCATTTAGTAGTGGACTCATGTATTTTGCCAGAGATAACCTATATTGCAAGAAATAACAACAGTGTACTATGAAGACAAACTTGTATTTTCGTGACAAAATGTTTTTCATGAAATTATTAGAAAAAAATATATTCAAACAAAACTATAAATTTCAGCCTAGTCATTCAGAGAAGAAACAGCTTTTTAATGTGCAGAAGAGCTTGCAACATTTTGTAACTGTTTGGGAACTAAAGAAAAACTAGTCTGTAGAAGGAGAGAGGTTCTTTTATTTAAATAAGACTCCTAAAGCTGTTAGTATTCATCACAGTTCTACTCAAAAGTTCTTGCCAACTAACCCACTGCTAAGAGAAAAGAGTGCATCTTACCCAACTGTTGCATATTTTTGTCCTTCAACAATAAGGAATTCAGTTGGCTTTCTTTCTTCAGTAGCTAGACATTTTAGCAAGAAAGGAAAAGGGATGAGTTGAACTAAAAACAAGCACCAAAAAATGCTGTTTTCTGTAACTTTAGTGTTCACTTGCTAAGGCTTGAAAACCACAACCAATCTTTGGAGCAAGGCTCTCTTTTACAATATTTATTATATAGTTGGTTACCCATCACAATTATAACGACCTGTAAAGTTGCTTTATTATCTGTTGGGGTTTTAGATCAAAAATCCCCCAAAGTCCCACAGCCATTATAGACTTAGGAACTTGAAATACAACAGGTTACAAATAGAAGAAAAGCGGAAAAAGTCACTAGGTTTTCTACTACACATTCTTAAATGATTTGCTGTGTATATTAATATTATGGCTTCAAACCACTTCTTCCTCAGGCTCCAGAGCAGAAGCTCTTACTGATGCAGTTTTTCATGCCACCAGTTTCCTGTCCTCTTGAAGGAAGCTGCAAGAGCTTATTTTAAGAGCAATGGTCGATGAGTGTATTTTGGTGTTGTGTTCCATAATTGGAGCGATTATTGCCTAATACACTCTCTGTCTCTGCTACATTCCGTTTGGGAGGTTGGAGTTTCTCCACCATGACATTATTGTACTTTCCTCCTACTTGTCTGTTGCCATTTTCTTTCCCCTCTATGCATGATTTCTTCCTGTTCTAGCCATTCACGCACACATTCATCACTGCAGCATTGGATGAGAATCCTCACAAGGTAAGAACGCATTACTCATTCCCATTTTACACACGGGGAAATAGAGCACGAGGAGAAAAAAGTGACTTGTCTGAGGTCAAATGAGGTTTCTGTGGCAAGGTAAATAATTGAAAGTACATGAGTTTTCGCTTCCAGGAGCAGCCACATAGCGTGCTGCCTTTCATGTGAACAACTGGCAGATGAAGTCGTGGGAAGGAGCAAGCTTTGTTTAACACAAGGAGGCCTGAGCACACACATGCTCCTCGGTCCCTCGCAACACTCAAGTGGTACGTTCTGAGGAAATACTAAACTTGTGCAGAGACTGTAAGCCTCTGCACTGGGAATACTTGTATAACAAGTGTAGCTCCTTGCCCTGTGCAAACACTTCAATGGATTTTCAAAAAAATAAATAAACAATCTTTTAAGGTCAGCACAAGAAGTGTCAACATCGGTACAGACAAAAGGAAAGGAAAAAAGGTATCAACTTCCTTCTGATCTCTCCACAAGATGGTGAGCAAAGAGAGATCAAGAGTGACATCAGAATATGTCCATCAACATTCAATAGCAGCATTTGCTGATAATAAACTCAGTTAACAGTAGGACTGCAAGACACACACCTGCTGTTTTTTTTTCAGGTAGAGAAATTCTGCCATCTGACACTGAATCGACAAGATCTTGAAACTCGGCAGGAACTTCAGCTTGCTTCCAGCGCTCGTTGTCCAAAAGTAGGCTAGTTATAAACACAAAAGACAGGAGGCTGAGAAAATGAAATGCCTTGTCTTAACGCTTCTCCTGCCTGTAACAGCGTAGAATCAAAAATACAGTACTTTGAAAAAAGCCAGTGGCCCAAAATGTTATGTTATTCATCTTCATTAGAAAGAGGTGCCCAACAATGGGCAGAAGTAAAACAGAAAAGTCAGCCTAGAGATCTCACAATTTGTTCATTCAATCTATCATAAGGGACAAAAGACTACACTAGGCAATAAAGATCCTTATGAGATCACTGCCACTGAAGTAATGTGTGAATACTGGAATTTTAAGAGCTTTCAATGGATGAGAGCAAAAAGACTTGATGTATGTTACAGGGAAGGCTGTTCCCCAAGTTTGTTTGTTGTTTTTTTCCTTTTTTTTTTTTAAAAAAAAAATTGTTGTTTTTGTTGGAGGTTTTTTGGGCTTGGGGTTGTTTGGGTTTTGGTTTTTGTTTTGTTTGTTTGTTTGTTCTAAAAACAGTTGGGAGTGAATTATCCTGAAGTTACTTAACTCCTGAGACAGAGCAATACAATACCAGTCTTCAGTCCTTCTTGTAGCTATTACTGTCCTTATTTGTCATCTAAATAAGAACAATTGAGTTTGAAGAAAATAAGTTATGAAAACTGTAAAAGTCTAAACCAATTGAAAATAATTGGGTTTTAATATAGTTTTTTGACCCCCTGCTCTTAAGTACAACTCAATTACTAGTGTTCTAGGCAACGAAAGATTGTGTTTGCCTGGCACATGATTGATAAAATTACCCGTGTAAGAACACAAAGATCTTCTACCCAGAGATACCTTAGTTTCGTCTTCCTCTCCTCATGGAATCTATTCACAAATCTATTGGCTTGACTCTGAAGTGCTCCGCGCAAGGACATACTTTTCCTGCCGCAGATCTGCTCGGTATCCAAGATAAAGCCTTCCATCAAGCGAGAAAGAGCAACAAATTCGTTGGAATTCAGCTTCTCTAGGAAGCCATCCTATATGCAAAGAAAACCATTGTGAGGAGACACAACACCACAAAAACTCAGAAATATAAAGAAACAACTATTCAGCATGTCTGAGGGCTACTAGTATTTTAAAAGGCACATTATTTAATCCTACATAGGACAGAGAAGGCAGATTGCAGTGCAAGCAGCTATCTTGTCATAAATAGGCATTCTCTGCATGAAGCTTCAAAGACAGCAAGTCAGAATATTAAAAAGGGGAGAAAAAAAAAAAGTAGCAGAAACCAACATTGCCTTCCAATGACATGGTATGTTAATGCTTGTGGTGCCCTGGGCATTAATTAACATCAAGCGCCTGTGGCAGCAGGAACAGTTACTTAATTTCAATGGAGAATGCCATTTCAGAACTCCCACTTGTTAAACCAGTAACTCGGGAGTAAATTCTCATTAGGGATGAGACACCACCAGCAGCCCGATCCAAGCTCCTTACCTTCGCTCTTGCCATGAGGAACTTGACTGAACGATCATGGCAGATATCAGAGGCATTATAAAGCAACTCTTGAATATTGTTTGCCAGCCTGACCAGTTCCAGGTCAGTCAGCTTCATGTCATCACTGATCCTACAAATGACAGAACCAGTTGACTGAGCATCAATTTATTAAAAAAAAAGTATTTCTGCTCACAGGTTGAAGGAGGAAAGAGCCTTGCAGCAACTGTCAAATGTAGACAGTGAGTTAATCACCAAAGTCGCTTTGTACAGGTGGGATCTTCCAAGCTGCTGTCAATGTCATGTCAGGAAATGCACAACTGCATATCCTTATATTTTGTTTTAAATCCACATCTAATTGTTATTAACTGTCTAAGAGAAAACACATTATAGCCATTACTAATCCAATAAATATTAACATTTACTGAGGCAAAATTTACCCAGCTCCTGTAACACTTGAGCATCGTAAGTCCATGACAGATAAAGCCCATTGTTTTTCTTTCAAAGCAAGTGTAAGGCCTAAAACAGACACTCTGCACTCCCCACCACCTTTAATCTATAGGCTGTCATTCTACTAGCTCTTTACACTTCAGGTTCCTAAGTTGGCACTCTTTAAAAAACCTTTTGTGATTTGTCTACTGTTTTGAGGCTGGCCCGTAGCACAGCTCTGCCACTCACGTAATTAGTTAAGATAACAACTTTTTGGTCCAGCGTGGCTGCTCAAGGGACTGACGGTATCAGAGGAGAGAGAAAACACAGGATGCTACAGAGCAGCAACTGGGCTAATGTCATGACTGTGTAATTTTATTAGCCTGCTCCAAACAAAGAGCAGAGGTGCAAAGAAAACCAGAAGAGGGATGGAGTAAGTTCATTCCAGAACAAAATTATGCAACCAGCCTCAGAAACAACTTTATTGCTCAAGAGCTCTAGCTGGGTGCTATATTTTTAGCTAACTTGGCAAAGTGCTCCAGACCAGTTCAGATCCAACTCCCTTCTCCTTCCCTGCTCCTCACTGTAACCCTGGACTCTTCTTCACATTGCATTTCTCTTCCAGCGTACGACAGATGTTTGGACATACAGAGGTCTGAATTTGTTTTATGCACGTTTTATGCATACTTATTTTAAATCTACCTCCTTCAGCCAGCATTGTGATTCAAGGGGAAGGTCTCTATAGAAACTGACAGTTGCCTAAACACACAAGCATAGACATTTGAGTATTAATCAGCTAGAGCGAGCAGGCCACTTGCCATCTTCCATCTTTAGCAGGGTAACAAGTGCTATTTCAATTTTGCTTCATAGAACCCTGTATCCCAGACACACTGGCTTTTGAAGTGGCTTGTGCTCAAGTCCCATACATGCCCTGCCTGGTTCTTTTAAAAGGCAGCTCTGATTCCCAGCCATAAATAAGGTATGCATAAAAGGTTGCCAAAAAAGTTACAACTCCGGAGTCCGGAGCACGACAGGGCAGCACTGCCTGTGTTACCAAAGCACTGAGATGGTTTAATTTAACTGTGCAAGTCTAATACTTGACAACGAACACCAGATTTTTCTCTGGAATTTATCAAGGTGTATTCCATGAAGCCAGCTTATAAAAAAACCCAAACAACACAAAGGAAAAAATAGCCATAGGGAACATGGATAGGGAACAGGACAGGAGAAGCCTGCCTGCTAAAGCCATGACAATCAATCTTGTCTTTCGTGTAGGCTAGACTTGCATCTCTCCTGCTCCCTACGGAAGAGGGCTCCCCAGCAGGACAGATGGAGAAGGGGCCCTTTTCTGTAAGAAGTGACATATTCAGTACCCCTACTGCTACACACCAGAGTGAAAGCACGGCAAATAAATGAGACAAAGGTGAGCTGAGGACAGCACAGTCTGATGGCAGTCTCTAGGGGCGATGGTGAAGAGTCGTTCCACTTCACTTACCTAGAAAAGCACATTCCTCCCAAGTAATTTTTGTCCTGTACCATTGGAAACAACCGCCTTCACCTAACACCCTGTTTCTGACAGGTTGCAAAGCAGAGGCAGGCAGCACGTTTACTTACATCATCTCCACTCCCCCTGGAGTAACAGAAGATGACGTTTGCTCTTTGCTGGATGAGGAATCAGTAGTACACTCCGGTTCGGAGACCGAATCGCTGCTACAGGGCTCGCTATTTGGGGAAGTGTTTCTGTGAGAGGTAGTGTCAGCTGCTACGGGTGGGAGGTCCCCTTCGCTGAACGCATCGCTGATAAACATGCCTTCATGAGTCAGGTAAGCCACTTCCGTGTCCACCGTGCTGTCTTTAGCAGAGTTCTTTTGCAAGGTGTCCTCCAGGTCTCTGGTTTTTTGGTTCTTGTCTAGAACCAAGAAAACCACGCTACGGATAGTATTTAACGTTGCCTAGAATCAAATATAACTTTTATTACAAAAAAAAACACAAAACCTTGTGCCACAAGCTTGTGCTTGAAAGAGATTTCCTTTTACCCACAAAAATAAAATTCTGGCTTTATTTTCTACTGTGTAATTAGCATTCGGAGGCAGACTCATCTGTCTTTGACAGTAACCGATATCAGATGTTTCCGAGAATGGTGAAAGAAACCTCATTTGGAGCAATCTAACACATACAAAAGTTCTGTCCTAATCCCTAGCAGCCTGAAACGGATGTAATCACGCAACAAGAGGTATTATCTCCTTCCCACTGCTCTCTTTGTTAGCACTAATCATTTTTGCCCTGGATGCTGATATTCACATATCCTTCTTTCAATCAAGAGTTTGAAATCTATAAGCAAAATCAACACCTTAAGACTTCAAATGGAAAGTAACTTCATTCCATTTCACGTCACATTTTACGTGACGCTCTTGGTAGATGAATGTCTTACCTTTATTCTCTTGAGGAAGATGGTAAACTTAGAAAAAATATTCTTCAGTAAATCAAACCACTGAGGAAAATTCATCATCCTCATCTGGTCTGCAAGCCTAAAAAAAGAGCAGTATTCAGTAAACAGCAAATGTTTACTGGCCATGATGCCTACAAGCACATAAAGAAAAAAAAACGTTTTAAATGGAATTCTAAGTTCCATGAGGAATTACACACTGTGTAGACTTCTATCTGGCAGAAAAACAGACATCACCTGAACAACAGTCATGATCAACACCATGTATGCAAGTGGAATGGGGAAGGAGATATATAAAAATAGATCCTACCAAAAAAATGAAAGCCTCACATTTACCATTTAGTTTTATCCAGGGCACAATGCTCTTTTCCTCTTATCCCCAAGGTAAGTATGTGTTACCAACAAGCGAGGGGGGTTAGTAAGATTTTTCAGAAATCATGTCGGGGGGAAAAAAGAAATTACCAAAAAAATTACATAAAAATATTTTGCAAGCGTTACAAAAGCCATGTTATTAAGCCTATTCTCTTGCATTGCAATGAGACCACTTCTGCTATTAAAGTGCAAGTCAGCTGTTCGTAGCAAAGGGCAGAAAAGCCACTGACAGAACAAAAGTTAAACTCTATAATACACAGATAGGACTCAACTGCAGAATAGTAAACATTGGAGAACGGTGACCAATCATCCAATGTTTAAAAATGACCCTGTGCCCAGTCTTTTCCCAATCTGGGTACAAATCCCATGCAGATTCTGCCACTCACTTGGCTTTATCAGCTGGTCTGGTTTTATTATTTTGGGGTAAACTTTTCCTGAGCCAAATTAATTGTAGAGCTACAGAAAAACAGAATCTGGCACGGGCCTCTGGAGCTGGGATCTCTGCAAGTGCCTTGTCCAACCCCTGCTCAACGCAGATCCAACAAGACTACGTTACTCTGGGCCTTGCCCAGTCAAGGCTTGACTACATCCCAGGACACAGACACCACAGCCTCTCTGGGCCCCTGTTCCAGTGTTTGACCATCCTCATAGGGAATGCATTTTTCCTAAGATACAACTAACATTTCTCATCTTCCAACCTCTTGCCCATTGCCCCTCATATTTCTCCTGCACACGGCTGAGAGGAGCCTGGCTCTGTCTACAGCTTTGCTATAACCCTCCCATGGAGTAGCTGTGGGCAGTTCTCCCCCGAGTTTTCCGCTCCTCAGGCTGGAGGGGGACTCAGCTTCCTTGGTTGCTCCTGCTACGCTCCATGCTTCAGCCCCCAACCAGTCCAGTGGCTTCCCCTGGATCTCCATGTCTTGTTCCTTGACCTGCTGGCTATACTACCATGGCCCAGGCTGCGGTTGCAAGAAAAGACACGCTGATGGTCCACGGCCAACATGTTCTCCATCACGACCCCCAGGTCCTGCCCTGTAAAGCCGCTCTGAAGTCAGCCAGCTCCTGCCTCTCCTGTTGAAAGGAGTTGCTCCCTCCTAGGCATAGGACGTGAAATTTGCCTTTGCTGGGCGTTGTGAGGCTCCTGACAGATGATTGCTACGGCTGAAGCTGTCCAGGCTCCTCTCTGGATAGCTCCTGTTCTCATCCATGTGGGGTGTACTGAAACTACTGACGTGTTTTGATACAAAATCCCACATTATGACAACAGGCAATGCTTTCAAGTAGTTCAGAGATACAGAAAACACTACATACTACTAAATACAGAAGTTTATGCTTCATGCAAATGAGATGCACAGAATTTCAGTATTTATTTTAAAGGTAAGTTTAATTTAAGCTAACATTAGAATCTAAACAAGAAGAGGAATATACAATATTCTCACAGAGGCAGACAGAAGCAGAGACTTAAGGTAAAACAGAAGGATAATCCTTAATTATAGGGAAATTTAAGCAAAAATTAGAATGGTAAATTTATCTATGCTAAAAACCATCCATCTCCTATCCCCACCCACCACCAAAAAAAAAATCTGGCTGTATACTTACTTAACAACCACTTCTGTATCTATTTCTTCTATCTGCGATACCGTATTAACCACACACTGTCAAATTTAAAGGGGAAAAAACAAAACAAAAAAAGATCTTAGCTTCCTTCTAACTGCTGCTGACTTTCATAAAACACACAATAATCCTCAAGTTAAATAAGAAAAAGTAAAACAAAGGAAAGACACATTTGTATCATTTAACAACTTGTTTCTCTAAAAACCAAACAAACAAAAAACCCGAAGAAACTCCCAAAACCATCCCCCCCCAAACATCTGTTTGCAAAATACAGATGATCAAAACATTCCCAGCTGTGTGCTAAGCTCTGGAGGACACACTGGCTCCATCCCAAAGAGACCTGCTTTTCTGAGCATGGATGCTAAGCATCATTTCAAAAACATCTCTCAGGTCAGGAACTTAAGAATAGAAGCCGTGTTCTGTGACATATTCCAAAGTGACTGACTTTGGAAAATGTTGGTTGACATCCTTTTCAGCTTTAAATATAGGACTTGGAAACCAACTTAAACTGGAAGGAACAGCACCAGGGAAGCGTGGAAGCACACACCTACAGTCCTGTGCTTTCAACTGGTAAGGCAGACCCAGTTTCAACTGCTCTCCTGGCAGACATGGTATTTGCTGTCTTCTCTGTCCTCTTCGCTTCCCAGGCACCGCCTGCCTCTGTCCCTAGATTCCTCCCCATCTTTATTGCTATGCTGTGGCCTTTCCTCAAAGGACATTTGCTTTTCAACCTGTACACACAAAACTGGCCAGTTTCTTCGAGTCTCCAGAACAATCAATTTTAATTCCAAACATATCTATTGTTTTATGGTAATTCGTTCGCTGATCTCTTTTCACATTACTTGTAAGTCCTAGGTACAAATCAACTCAATTAGACCGAATTAGGGGTTTTCTCTCAAAATGTCAATTAATAACTTGATCAATTGAGTCAGTAGCGTATGAGCTCATCTTGCCTTTAAGTGAATATGCACAATCCAAACGGTGATGGATGGCTGCTGTCTCAAACTACATGGATTTTACCTGTGTTTTGAGTAACAGTGGTCAGTACAGAAGCTTCTTAAAAAGCAGACCTTGCTCTTGAACTATGCAGTGTGTTCAGTGCTTACACACCTCCGCTTTCACCTGCCTGGCAATAAAGAGCTACTGAAGTACTGACCAAAACAGCCCAGCAATGCATTGGAACAGGAAGCACATTTGAGATGTGGGAAGGAAACCGTTTCCTTTATTAAGGAAAAATATCTGAGAGTTGAGACAATAGGTCACAATGCAAACATGTAGCACAAACCACACAGAAATACTCCCATCCTATTTTCCCTATTCAATAGAAACTTACATCGGAAGTTGACTAAACTTGCAGAGGTGACACCTGAAAAATCCAACATAAAGACAAATACTCCCAGCAGAATGGGAAAAGCACTTTATGATCAAGAATGAGCAGTAAAGCAGGGAGCACTGCTTGCCTATTATCCAACTAAACAGAGAATTTAAAGGAAAAAATGTCTCCTTGTGACTGGTAACACAGGCAAGTGAAAAGCCAGTGGAGACTGATGAGCAGATCAACAGTTTTATACT